CACAGGTTCAAGCTAACCTTTGGTGGTCTTTTCACTTCATTTCCTAAACAGGAAGAAGTACAAAGCTGCCATGCCGCCATTCATTCCTTTCCAAGGCTTACAGCTTCACCTTGATCACATGCATGCATAAGATGCCCAGTCATCTATTTGGCGACCAGCCTCCAGGTCAGACTCACTCTGGGTTTCTTTCATATAAATATTAGTAGTCCTTCGCAGCATCTCTACCATGTTTCCCTACTATCATATTTTCTTCATTTGTTACTAATCCCAAACCTTGGTTTCATTTCACTTTATGTCTTATCTTGAAAAAATATTTTCAGTAAAAATATTTGCCCTGAAGACCTCATCTTTTCTGCCTTCAGCTTTTTGATGTGCATTTCATTTAATGCACTCACTTTCACTGTAGAGCAATATTGTTAGTGCATTGATTTGATAAACTGTCACTTCAAAATTGAATTACGGACTGATGAAGACATTATATTTAGTATTTATGCAATGTGTGTGGCTGAGACGCATCTCATTTTAACTTCATCGTTGATGGAACAAGTTTCCTACGTACACATAAGACTATACCTGGTCTATACTTACACCAACGCTTTGTTTCCACACTATCTAGAGTCATTTTCCTAAATGTAACCACCTTGTTGTTAGGCCTTTAGGTCCAAATTGACTACAGTAGTTATTCAGATTAATAGAATATCCATAATCAATTCAATTGTACGCCAGTCGTATAGTGTTATCTACTTTAACTAAGGAGCTAAGCAATACTTTAGCTAGTGTCACAGCCAATAATTCATCAAGACCCTTAAACCCCAGTTTAATAACTGGATGAAAAAGCAATGGTGATTCCATGCCACTTTAGTGCTAACCAATTCTGTGGGCCAATTCTGGCCCCTGAAGTGACCCAATCCAACCTGCAGCTTGGAACAGTGGAAGCAGCTCAGCCTTATGCATCTGCTTTTCTGCCCTGCACCATGCCACTGATCCCCCTGCAGCCCTCTGTGCTTTCTCCTTCCTTATGGCAGGTGCTGCTTACTCTCTCCCCTTTTCTCCCTCCCTACTTCCCTGTGGCAGGCACTGTTTTCCAGGAAAAGCTCTCTTCTTCCCACAGCTCCCTCTGACATTAAAAGCAGATTCCTTTTCACATTCCCCCTGGTGAATTAGACTCCTGTTCACATTCTTTTTTACATTCTTCCCTGAAGGGAAGTGGTGGATGCTAGTGCAGCTAGGTTATAGGCATCCAGGCCACTACTCTAAGAGGTTGAGCTCATTGGTCCAGCATGTGTAGAACGCATTCTGCTGGAAAGCTGACAGTCTTTGCACTTGCAAGAAGCTCACTCCTTACTTAATTTGCTCTTGAATGACAGAAACAAATACATAAGGAAAGCACAACGTGCACACAGTAAATTCCCTTAAATGCTTTGTTATTAAGAAGGATGCCATATCTATTTCCTTAGCATAAAATGAATTAGATGCAATAAATCTAACCTGTACAATCAAATACAATGTGCTTGTTTCAGTAAAATATAATTATTATACAATAAAAAGAAATTATGAATGAGTCGCCAACAATTAGCATGCACAAGGTAGGTGTAGGTTTGGGGTTTTTTAAATCTCTCTAGCCAGTTAACAGGATTTACAGTATTTGCACTACAAAATACATAAACATGGAAATGACATGGAAGTTAATAAAACTGTTATCACCAGTAATTGAGGAGTCCATCAAACCACCACCACTGCAGGTTAACTTCTGGACTTGCTTTCCTCTGTGTGTATACAGTAGAGAAAGTAAATTTTCTCTTCTCTTTTTTTAGTCATCTACATTCCAAATTATGTGAAAAATTATTTGCATAGAATCAACAAGTGCACCTCCTACAACTCTATAGGAAACAGTTAATAAACAATCCTACCTAAAGTATACAATTATTTCAAAGAAACTGCTATCTGCTGACAAATCAACCAAAAATGTAAAAGCGGGAAAGCATTCATCTCTCAAATTCTAGATTATGTATTACTATCACATCTTTCTACCTTAACTTTGTTTTTAAAAACTATGTACTACCATGATTTTCTGCTTCTTCCAGTTTGTTATGGGCTAGGATGCCAACAAAAGGTGTTTTTGCTTCATATTCCATTCCATTTGCTTTTATGTTGTTTCTGTATCTCAATGTAAGATATTCTAAGCTTTGTTCAGGAAGGACAACATACAAATTTAATAAATATATAACTGTTGTCTTGCAAAAAACCTGCAGGAAGGACATTTTTTATTTCTGACTTTAAAAAAAGAAAAGAACAAGCAGCATCAAAAGTCCTTGTTTATACTGTTTATACCAATATAGTTAAAACACTGCAGCCTGATAATGGGGATATTTGGTCAGTATTATCCATCTTTTATTGCAAAGAACTCAAGAGGGATCACAATATGTCAGAATGTTTTAGGAGCTATGGATTCTCATTTCAAACCTCTGTTTCTCTTGTGAATCATTCATTGGTACTTGCACACTTAGTATTCCAGGGCAGACTGCTGGACCTTTAGACAAACGTCTTGACACTCTAAGTGCTGTGGCACCCTGGTTGAGAAATTGCTGCCCTAGCATCTGCATTGGGCAACTAAATATTTTCTGTCCCCACAGCAAAGCAATATATTTTTTATTCTACGGAAAGTGCCATAATGGCAATGTAAGTACATTCCACTTCAATCATATAACTCAGGAGCTATCTTTCACAAGTCACAGTCACTTAGTGAGGCAATAAGAAACAGGATTTATACTCTTTTAAACAAGTTTTTAACAAAATTTTTCAGCAGGCAGTTGTTCTGTTCCTTTATCCCCCCTGTGCTTGGATCAAAGAGTTGCATCCCAGCAACAGAGCCATTTAAGTAATTAAAAACTCTATCTAGGCACCATAAAATTCAACACAGAAAAATAAGATTATGAAGCTATAATATTGCAGTAGAGCATGACACACTAACATGCCTCTGAGTTTCCTAGTGTGGAGTCTCTCTGGCCAATTTTCATGTATTATATGAAATGATGTCCAAGACCTACTATAAGACAAAAGGTGTTTTAATTATTTTTTATTGCTTTGGTAGCAAAAATTAAGTTAAATCCTACCTCCCAAATTAGTATAACATTTTAAGGCAAGATTAAGATACATAGGAGCTAAGCAAAAAACCTGAAGGTACTATGAAGGCATATAATGAAGTTGGACTTAGAAGGCAAGGTCCACAGGAAATCAAGGACTAATGTCATTATAAACACTAATTTCTTCTGAGTAAGAGAGATCATGATACACTGCCCAGGAAAAGGAGACTAACTTTACCCTTTTTTTTTTTTTTTTTAATTATCTTCAGGGATCTTTAAAAAACAGTGGTCTGCTGTATACTGTCCTCAAAATGCGACTATGCTTTTTGATAAGCGATCCCTCCTAACTTGTACACCTGCTCCTGACTTTAGAGTCTTTTACTGGAAGCTAGTCCCAATCAAAGAATTAAATTCTGGTAAGGTCACTACCTAAGTTTACATCTGCCCATCACTGCTGAATTGAATTTTATCAACACATTGAAAAAAAATCTATGCGTGTCCACAGATTTCAACTTTTCTTGTTCACCAGATGTTAACTAGATTTCATTGCAAAATCTCAGAGTTTTCAAATGTATTCTACATTTGTTCCTGACCATTGGAAAGTTATGTTGTTTTCAAAACTACATAGAATATTACCTGAACACCACAGGGAGAGTTTGAACTAGAAAGATGCAAAATGTAAAATCCAAAGCAATATGCAAAAGTCAAAACAGGAGGACAACTGATAGGTCTGACAGAAAAGTTTTACTATCTTAGTAAAAATAAAGCCTAAGTACTTAAACTTTCTAAGTCTATGATGCTTTCAGGTGTTATTTCCATCCTCGAGAGAAGTAGAAAAAACAGGAAATCAAAGTTTCTTTAGATGAGATTCATTTTCAGGTTTTTATCCAGGTACTGATTAGGTCATCAATATGAAGACGCAAATAGGAAAGGCATGTATTTATAGATATAGAGCATGTCTAATTCAGAGTTCTCCTCCCTCACTTCCCCAGCATTTAGATGCTGAAATGACCATAAAAAGTGAGTTTGATATTAGAGAGACAGTTCAAGTTACCATAAGATATCTACCATTGATCAATTTCAACAGATTTAACACAATGTCACAGTCGACTCTTCACCATCAGTGAAGAATCCACCCTAACTTCTCTAGGAAAAACAACAACAGAAACAGGAAAAAAAAATCATTCTGATCCTATTTTAAGTAGGGAAGCCTTCATTCCTGTAACTCCTACTCCTTAATTCCCAATTCCTGTAACTCCTACTATTCTTGCCAAAAATATTAAGACTCTATTCCTGTTCCCTATAGTCTCCAGCTTCTTTTGGATCCCTCAAATTCTTCTCCTTTCCTGCTGTTCTTATAGCAGCCAATACAGAAGAACTGACGTGTCTTTTTGGTCAACTCATAGCTGGGTAATCTTGCTAAAAACAACTTTGGTATAGAAAGTTAGATTTTTGTATGTTTTCTAATAGCAAGATACATATTTAAAAATATGGATTCCATTTCTGACTCATGCAAAGGGCAAAGAGTTCTCCAGCCAATGAACTAAACTCTTTGAATACTATTGGAATACACATGCGCACACACACCATTATATTGAGTCTAGATGAGAAGTGGCCAATTTGCAGTACAAGTGCCACAAGTGGAACAAGTAGCCTGTGTATGGCATGTGGCAGATCAAGGACGGGTAGAAAGCAAAGCACTAGATCAGGCAAGAGAAGGGGACCATCGTGACATTCCAGGAAGGTGTAGGGCTAGTGTGGCACTCCTGCCAAAAACACTGGCCCCATGGGTGCCAACTGTCCATAAATTTGTGAATTCTCTGTATAAAAGGGCTAAAGAAAGCTTATCTGTGAAGTCTGTAAAAAAACCTGAGCTGATAATTATATGCATTAATAATGTAAAAAGTGGTCACTTACCTGACTGGATTGCTGGTCAGAGACACTCTCAAAGACTCCAAGCAGTTGAGAAGTTTTTCTTCTGTGATACCAGATCGTAATTCATGAACATATTCCTGGGAAGACAGTGTGCATTCATGCTTGCTATTTTTCAGTCCTCCCTGTAAAAATGTGCAAACAAGGAGGTTTGAAATTAGAAGTATGTATTTAAACAGATACCCCCACATACTGACATCTATTCTTCTTATGTAAAAAGAAAACTTTTCTCTGACAACTGCACCCAAACTCCTGCCTTACAGCTGTAAATAAGACTTTACAGAAATGTCATTTCTTGTTTAACTAGCAAGGATAACCAATTTAATGTTCCTGCTTGATAAAGTTATGCAAGTCCTGGATTTCAGAGGCTGTCTCAGCACCCCAGCTGTTGGAGAAAACTGAAGAAAAACTCCTGGATTGGAGCAAACCTGTCTGGCTTCTGACTCAGAAGCCAGGCATGTGTGGGCAGGTTCATACCAATCTGGGACTTTTGTTTCAATTTTCTCCAGGGAGCCCAGGCAATGGTCCAGACTCCACTGGGCAGCAAGCAGAGTCACCGGTGCAGTAGACTCAGAGCAGGGCGAGATGGGGAAAGAAGGTGTAAGGAAGGGCAGGTGCATGTTTGTGTGTGCTGCTCCGTCCTCCTGGGAGCCAAAGAGCTGGGGGGGGCAGAGGGTGTGCACCCATGTCCCCTGTCCTGCATTTCCAGAGTGTGTGCACCCATGTCCCCTGTCCTGCATTTCCCTTCAAATTATATGGTCACCCTAACTAGAATCCAAGATGTTTTTTCCACATGTTGACTGCTGTGGGAAAAACTAAGTCTCATTTGCATTTGAGTACCAGTGTTCCAGGTCTCCCCTGGCCCCAATTTGGTCACTGACTCTTTTAGGTGCAACTTTTAAGCTAATCACCACCTTAGTAAAAGAAACTTAGCTGAAATAAAGACATATCAAAATTTTATTTATATCAAATAATGTAACACATACAGTTATGGGAACAATAAAACTAAATAGACCTTTGCAATAGCTACAATTAGATACCAAACACCACGTGAGTAAACAACATTTGGGAGAATATCCATGCATGCCACACAGTGAACCCCCCAAAAGTGGCTTTTTCTTGGAGTTTGCAGTGCCTACTGGGGATGCCACTTCTGTGAGTCAGCAACCATGGACTCAGCAACAGTGCGGTGAGAGCGGACCTGGGGCTGGGATTCAAGATTGGATGACAGTGAGGTGTTGGACAGCATCACACACAAATCAGGTAAGGAATGGGGCAGCAGTGCAGAAGGACTGGGTAAGTCAGGGACCAGGTGGGGAACAGAGCAAAAGCACAGGTCAGAGAATGCAGTAGCATGGTATGCATGGTCATGGAGTCACCCGAAGACAAAATTACACCTTTGGGGTTTCACTTTGTGGCATGCCTGGATATTCTCCCAAACTAAACTTACTCTTGAAGTATTTGGTCTCTAATTGTACCTATTGCAAAGCTGTGTTCAGCTGTATTGCTCCCATCATCGTATCTATTATATCAAACAATGTTCATGCAATTTTGGTATGTCTTTATAATAATTCAGCCAAGATTGTGTTAATAAGGCAGTGATTAATTTGAACAGTTAATCTTATTCACACCTAGAAGAGTCAATGGCTGAGCTCCTATTAGGCACAAAGAAGCCTGGTCTGCCCAGACAATAATATACTTACATTTTTAAAAATGCCTGATTCATAGATTCATAGATGTTAGGGTCGGAAGGGACCTCAACAGATCATCGAGTCCGACCCCCTGCATAGGCAGGAA